TTAATCTCAGCTTGACTGCTGAAGAGTCTATGATTTTCTTTTCTGATTCTTCCTATCCTCATTTGAAATAACATTTATCTTATAAGGATTCTCTAAAACGTGGTTAAGATATTTGTGTGCTACCTAGTACATTATTTGGGACTTTTAGGACTCTATAAATGAAAATAACAGAAATGAAAGTAGTAAAGGCATCTATGATAGCAATAATAACAATAATTTTTATAAGAACCATTACTGACACAGGTAGTTGGTTAGAGTCAACATTTTCTTTTATTTATTTATTTATTTATTTATTTATTTATTTATTTATTTATTTATTTATAGGTTAGAGTCAACATTTTCTTTTATTTATTTATTTATTTATTTATTTATTTTTGTGACCGTGCTCAACCAGTGAGCGCACCGGCCATCCCTATATAGGATCTGAACCCGCGGTGGGAGCACCGCTGCGCTCCCAGCGCCGCACTCTCCAGAGTGAGCCACGGGCTCGGCCCCAACATTTTCTTTTAGATATCAAAGGAGACAGATGTTTGTACAACATGATGTGCTAGCAAACTCGTAAACAGACATCTTCCTACTGGTAATTTCAAAGGCTATTTCTGAGAGCAAGACTGTGAGAAAAGTTTTGCTGCATCTTTTTACAGATGGGGAAATTTATGTACAATGAGCAATGAAAACATTTTGTATGCTGGGAACAGGGTCCAGTTTGGAAGAGACAGTTCTTGGGTTTCCATTCAACTGACTAGAAGATAGAGACATACAACCTAATAATACATAATTTATTCAAATCTTCAAAGAAAGCAAGCATCAGATTCTGAAATAACTTCCTCTCAATTTCTGTTCTCTTTTGTAAACACTGTGTTCAGCCAAAAAACAACCAGATTTTTTTCCTTTTCTTTCTCTTTTGTTTTGAAATTAATCAAGATTAGTAAATATTTCCTTGGGAACTTATCTCAGTCTTATGAAAGGCTTTGCTGAGAGTGAAAAGCTCATTGTTTTATAGGGTCATTAATCTAGTTTTTAACCTTATCTTTCTTAAAACTTCCGGCTTAAAAATATAGTTGCTAGGCTGCTTCTCGTTATGAAATAATTTAGTGAGAATTCTTTACAAAGGCTTACTGTCCTGCCTATTGGAGGATGTCTGCCCATTCAAAGGAATGGTCTGATGGAACAGAGAGGGAGAAGAAAACTCTTTATGGGAGTTCTAGTTTCCCTGTCTGGGATAGTGAACAAATTTGTAGGAGTGTGCAAAGGGCACCAGCTGAGATGTCATGGGGCACAAGGAAAATTAAATAGAGGAACATGGAGGAAACTTAAGAAAGTTCATTTAAGTAAAATCTAAAATGATGACTGGTAGAAATATTGATAATTTTCACTCCAGAAGATCACATCCCACAGTGTCCAGATTTCCAGGGACCTCAAAGCAAAATTCTACACCCATATCTGTCACATCAAAGAAAACATTTTGAATGGGTTTCTTGAAGTCCTGGGGTTTGATGCACTCAGTGGCACCCACTTCCTTTGCCTTCTTAGATTTGTCTTTGTTGATGTCCACTCCAATGATCCTGGCTGTTTCTGCCACTTTGTAGCGTGTGATAATAGACAGGCCAACTCCTCCAAGGCCAAACATGACACAGGTAGAGCCTGGTGTCACCTAAGCACAAAAATGCAGAAAACCCAAAAAACAAAAGCGAAGGGAACACGTCCCTTTACTCAGTTGGGAAGGCCAAGTCTGTGTATACTTTCATGAGATATAGGCAAAGGATGTTTTCAAATAAAACATAGCTAGAGAGTTTTAGTTTCTCAAGGTATTTCTAGATATGGGACACTCTTGTCACAGGAGCAAAAATCTACCTGCAAATGGAGAGTTTCAAGTCCAAGGCATTAGCATGAGTTAGAAGTAGTTTAATAATTTTTAATTGAATCTTAGGACTTACTTGACAGAATACTTATTTAATTCCATAAATTTCTCAGTTTTTAAAAACTGTCTCCACCTTCCTGTAACCGTTCCTTTTTCTTTTCCTTTGGATATCTATAAACTTTGAATTACTTATAGGATCAATGCCTTATGAAGACAAAGCCTTATTTTTTATTGACTATCATCCAGTATGAGACTATTTAAATTGAAACCCTTTGGCCGGCCCGGTGGCGCACTGCTACAGTGCACCGCTTGGGAGCGCGGCGGCGCTCCCGCCGAGGGTTCGGATCCCACATACAGACCGGCTGCTCACTGGCTGAGCGAGGTGCGGGCGCAACACCGAGGGTTGCGATCCCATTGCCTGTCCCAGTCCGGTACGGGCGCGACACTGAGGGTTGCGATCCATTACCAGTCATGAAAAAAGACAAAAGGGAAAAAATAAAAATAAAAAAAATAAATTGAAACCCTTCTATTCTGTCTCTATAATGTTGGGAAAAAGCAAATACTAAAACTCACCAGTCCCTCAAAGAAGGGAGCTGGGGAGTCTGGAGTGATATTCCAGAAACAGGAATTTAACAGTAGCTTACTCAGTCACAGTGGGATTTCCTGGCCAATCTGTCTAATATAGCAACACCCCTTCCATCACTTGGTGCCTTTACTCTCCTTTTCTTTTTATTAGGACTTATCACTACCTATCACATTACGCAGTAGAATATAAGCTTGATGAATTTTCCTGGCTGTTGAATCCCAGCACCTGGAATAGTGAATTGCTCCATAAAAGTTCTTTGAATGAAAGAAAGAATGAACTGGAATGTGGAAGAAGACATGATTGTGTTATAATTGTGTTATGTTTAACTTCCAGGAATTCTTGATTTTCCACTTGTGAATGTCATCCATATTTAATTTGTCATTTACTACTGACCAAGAGGGAATAAGAAAGATATTGAATGGTCATAGGATGACCTAGGCAGATAGGAGAGAACTCAAAGCTGTTTGGAGGCAGGTGTGTGATCTTCCTCAGGTGGTATGATCAGACCTGACCCAGATGTGTGAGGCCTTTCAACTCAATATCCCAATAATTCTATTCAAAATGGGTATAAATGCCCCTCACCTTGGCAGGGTTGATTTCAGCACCAAACCCAGTGGAAAAACCAAAGCTAATTAGAAACACTTTTTCCAGAGGTGCAACTGCATCAATCTTGGCAACTGAGATTTCCTTTATCACTGCCTATTCAGAGAAGGTACTTGTAACAGCAAAGTGATGTACTGATTTTCCCTTGCAGGTAAACCTACTGGTACCAGCAGACATTAGGTTGGTTTTTGACTGTCTTTATAGACAAAAACAAACATTTAAAAATTTTTTTGAATTAGAATACTTAGATTTCCTTCAATAAAATTGATTTAATTTTTCAAAAAGAAAATAGTAGTAGAGACTTACTTGTGTTGTATACAATAATTTTCCCCAAATTTCAGGCAAGCGATACATTCTCCACATTGTGGTAGAAAGAATGTGATAATTTTATCACCAAAGACAGCAAAAATTATTTATTAGGATGTTATCTTTTAGAGTAAATTAGAGATAGCTGTCTCTCAGGATTTTGACAGCAAGATACCCAAGAAGATATGATAAACTGAGAATTATTTCCACATGTAACTGTGCTTGGTACCACAAAGAATATCAAGTACTCACAAAAGGAGGCGATGTCTGCAGCCTCTGTGTCCAGTCTTGGGCTCAGTGGCTGAATCTCGAGGAGCTGGTCCCAGATTTGACTCCTTTGTAAGTTCCTCTTGGAGCACCAAATTATTTTATCATGTAGCCATTGAGCCAAGTCTTGTCTTACATCTTCTACGCTAACTTCCGTTGTCAAGGATTGGATTTAAAATAGTGTGGATACCACACGCTCATAGGATCAGGGAGAAAAGATTGTCTATATGCTTTCCTCTTAGTTTCACATCAACCCTCTCTTCTTGGCCGTGGAGGTCAGAGGTAGGCAGATTTCTCTAGTAGTGCTCAAAGCATAAGGAGAAAGTTAGAACAGGTTGCCCATGATGCAATTACTGGCTGCCCCATTGTCTGTCACTATAAACCAGCACAATTTATTTTATAATTTTAGTTAAACATCTTATTAGGATTTAGGCTTTTCTGTTTTATTTATTTTTAGTGTTTAAAAAGTA